GATCTACAGCGATGACATCTGAATGTCATTCAGACTGGAGAAGTGTATTCGGACGTTAACAAAGACAGGGAAACTAGTTAGAACTGTACTACCAGAAGGGAACATTGCTGACATCAAGGACCGCTACAAGTACCTTGGAATCCCCCAGGCAAATGGGAATCATATACAGGTGCTAGGAAAGCTGAAACCACCAAGTACCTGCAGAGGGTAAGACAAGTCCTGAGATGTGGCTGACATCCAGATAATCTAACAGCAGCTGGAAAAAGCTGGACTGAAAGACAACACAGGGGCACTAATTGTGGCAGCACAGGTACAAACTCTAAGCACAAGATCCATAGAGAATGGGGTCTACCATACCAGGTGCAGGCTGAGCAAAGATGCCCCTGAGACAGTCCAGCACATAACAGCAGAGTGCAAGATACTGGCAGGCAGAGCATACATAGAAGACATAACCAAGTGTCTGGCATAGTATACAAGAACATCTGTGCCAAGTATAGTCTGGAATTCCTGGGGTTCAAATGGGACACACCCCCTACTGTAGTTCTGAATGACCAAAATAAGATCCTGTGCAATTTCCAGCTACAGACAGGCTAACTGGTGATGGCTGGTGAACTGAATTGAATTCAACCATAGGATTTCTTCTGTGAACTGATTTACTGATAAAACTGCAGTGTTCACAAGTGAACTGAACAAACAAGAACAACAACAAAAGCCGTGATCAGGTTTTATTTTTATAAGCAGTGTACATGCACTGGGTAAATAAAGAGAGTATGAGTGCAGTTGTATATTACATGTACACAGAGTTTTCTATAGTGTGAAGTATGAAGAGGAGGTGAGGTCTGCAAACACACAGAGTGAAGTGAAATTTGGATGTGTTCTTAAAGCAAAATCGAGCTAGTTATTGCACTTTGGCCCACAAATCAACATGAACAAGAGATGCAACAGGGGCAGTGATGCACAACTGAAGAAGGCATGTAATAACATTAATCTTCTGAGAAATATGAACGTCAAAACTTCATGGCAAATCAATAATTAGTCTGAGATAGTTCCGTCTATAAAAGGAGGTAACCAACCAACACCACCATCCATGGAGTCATTCCTCTAAAACAGGTAAAAACAGGAAGTGAAAATCACCGAGTTACACAATTGAGACCTACACTAAGGTTAGAAAAAAAACAAAAAACATAAATAGCAACATTTAGATTAGCATTTATGCTTAGAGACTTACAAATAAATACTATCATCATATTCTAAACATTATCATCAAGCACAACAACTTTGATAGATTATTATTTGCCACACTGGAACGTGTTCAGTCCATTTATCTGAGAACAGCGATCACAGCATCCATGTCAGAAATGGCTAACAATAAGTTGGTTCTGTGCTGAGTGGAAATGCTTTGTGTATTTTCGGCTGGTCCACTAAAACTTTGTCATTGGTCCTCAGAAAAGTCCACGTAAAATAATAAAGGCATACTGTAAAATAGGCAACTTGTATACCCTCCAGATCTCCTTGAAGGACGTATTACTTCAAAGATATTGATTTATTTCTTTGCTTTTGCTGGAGCAAAAAAGAAAAAAGAAAAGCTCAGTTTAAAGTATCCAGTGCTGCTTGTGCTTTCTGAACAGCAATCTGGAGCATTGTGTGGTCACTGAGCAGCTGCTGGAGTGTAGCTGGGTCCATTTCTAGCAGCATACCTACAAGGATGTAGGAGTGTTATCAGTATTTCAACATCATCAACAAGAACTCTCCAGAGAGAAAAAACAAAATACTGATTAATCACAAAAGTATTTACAGGTTAACGTCACCTGTAATATCATTTGCATGGAGTGGATCCATCTCCACCACCAGCGAGAAGAGCTTCTCTCCGAAACTCTCTGTGTCATCCAGCTCTGAGGTGTCGCTCACATCAGTCTCCTCCATATTCTGCCTGAAGTGAAGCGATTATTACAATTTTTCATTAACAATTAATTAGATTTCCACTCCTATCTTATTAAAGCTGCCCTGATACTGATCTGCAAGGCAGGCTACAATTTTAAAAAAAAAAAAAAAAAAAAAAAAAAATCACATTTCTGAACAAGCCCATATGTAAAAATATTCTCCAAAAAACAACATACTCTTTCAGCGTCTTCATGGCGAGGTGCACTTGTTCCTCTAGCAGACTGGGATCTGTAAGAAGCTTTAAGATGGCATCTTTGTGCTGCTCGAGAAGCATTCCTATGGAGGAAAAGTGCATTAAATATCCATTTATCCATGCATTTTCTACCTCTTATCC